AATTTTTAATATTGAAATAAAAGCAATTATCATTTCAAAGTTTAATATTTAATAAAAAAATTGTTTTGAAATGATTGTAATGTTAATTAGTATATGCTAAGTTGTGTAATTTTCTTTTCAAAGCCACATTTTTTGTTAATAAGGTAAATTTGTACATACGTTTCTAGTTCTGATGATACCAATATATTTTGAGTGTCTGTTTTCAAACTTTGATTCTCCTTGTCCTGGTTTGCAGTTGACAATTGTCTGGAATGCCCCGAAATATTAACAAAGCTCTCAATAAATGTTTGTCGATATCTTTTTGCCTGCCTTCTTAATCTATCTTCACTTTCTGCAGACAATTGTCTTTTTTTCAATGGGAGATTTTCAGTAGGAACTGCTGTTTGTTTTAAGTTTCTACCAGTCTTAGTGGAGTAGTTTAATAGCCTCTGTTGTAAGGGTATTTCAAAACTATCCTTCGAAAAATGTATGGAACAAATACAAGCTTAAAAAAGAAACAAGACATAAAATTAATCATATTCAAGTTAGGTTTGCAAAAATCATACCATTTTTCAAATTAATTGTATCTTTTCACCCTCAACCGTTGACCCAGGCTTTGGCTATATCTGTTTTCGGAAATCCAAAATACTTAATATTTGTTCTCTTTGTTTTTCTTAAATAGTTCTTGCTGCCAAACACTGCACAACCTGGCATTTTGTTAGTAACTACACACCCTAAAATATAGTAGATTTTAATGTATCAATAATATAATAATAATAATAATAATAATAATAATGATATATTAAAATAACAATAATGAATATAAACTATTTCTTTTATCTTTAAAATACAACAAAAATGTTACATAACCTAACTTTATATCAATTACACTACCAACTTAATTAGAAATTAATTTAATAATACGTACCAATAATTTCTAAACAGGCCTATTGATATATAGAAATGATATTAAATATTAAGATAAATATATCTATAAACTTCTAAACACTACCAGGAAAATATTAGAATAACTTTAAAAGTCGCTTTTTAACATTGGAGACATAGGCAAAACAAAAATATGCTCCGCAGGTGACGTCATGCGCAAGAATGACCAAATTTCGTACCGCTTACCGCTTCACCTGTATTCTTCCACCATGAGTGAATATTATTTTTTGAGTCACAGATTATTGCTAAAGAATCAGTTAGCTCACTCGGACAAGTTGAAAGTTTCAAAATAAGATCCACTCCAGGGATACAAATTTAGGATACGCAGAAGACAGCTGTTTTATTATAGGCGGTTGTTATATATTGTATTATCCGAGTTGCGCAGTGTATAAACTGGAACATTGAGATCAAAAGTGCCGACGCAGAGTGAGCCATCTGATTCTTTAGCTATAAACTGTTGCATAGTGCTCAAAATGGCCGGGCCCTATGTTGGGCGTGTCGGACGTCTCTCTTGCGCCGTATAGTAAAGAAAATCAAAGTATGTGGGTAAAATCACATACTTTGGTAGAATGCTTGTCAATAGGCTTGAGATGCGACTATAGGCGAGTTCGGTCAGTCAGGGGCTGGAGCGGGACAAATTTTAGGGTGCTTTTAAATGACATTTAAGCGTGTTAAACTGTCACTAATCGGACTAAACCGAACGCTAAAAGAGTCGTTTGGAGTTAAAAAGTGTTAAAGGAGTTAAAGGAACGTGGCAAACCCAATGAACTGGAGTGGGGTAGAAAGATAATGTGCATATTGTATCAATATCAATTGAACAAGATGCTACTCTATGGGCACAGCCATTTTTATTTCTCATCTCACTCGGGAGTATTTATAATAGCCATTTTCTGTTTCACATTGTTATTGTTCAATCCACAGGCTGGTGGATCAGACAATAACAAAGTGAAATAGAAAATGGTCGTTATAAATACTCCCGAGTGAGATGAAAAATAACCTGTCTTCGCCCATAGAGTGGCATCTCAAGCCTATTGACAAGCATTCTACCCACAAAGCATGTATCTTCTAGAGACCCCACGCCAATGTTAAACTTTTAAACCAAAATAGCGCCACCTTGTGTTTGGAGCTGGAACTAAAATGACAATTGACAGATGGCGGTAAATTCAAATTGTAATTTTTAGGAGTAGGTAGTAGTTTTAAATTAAATTTTAAATGATTTCCACATAAATTATTTTATAAAATAAAGTATGGAACTAGTAAGTTCGAAACTTTTATTTTACAAAATAATTTAGGTCGATTATACCAAATTTGAGGAATTAATTTGTTATAAGGGGTCTAATGTGGAGAGTTGGTTCTGCATATTTTTATTCAATAAATAATAAAATAGAACATTCTTAAAATATGTTTATTAATAAATTAAATAAATATTATTAGATAAAAATAAATACAAATAATAATACATATTTAACGAATACTTACTTGGAGCAAATAGATATATAATCTCAAATCTTTAAAATACCTATCAATAATGTAAATGTGAAGTAGAGACTAGGATATTACATTTTATTAACACTAAAGTTATATATTTTATAAATGTCTTTTTAACTGAGGACAAATGTAATATAGGTATTGTATTAAAAGGTGAATCCTTTTAACTATTCATTCAATGATAAATAGGTATTTTCCTTCCAAATACAGATGGTGATACAGATTTCGGAATCTAGTCCAGTGATAAATTGATTATCAATTAGTTGTTGTCCCCGTTTGTCTTTTTATGATGCAGATGCATGGTGAAGATATGGTGAATCAATGAAGTTTTTCTCGAAGTTTTCAACGTAGCACCAAAATTATTGCAAACCACAGTAGGAAATAAAAAAGCGAAACATCACAATTTTGCAAATAACTAAGACGAAACTATAAACAGAAACCAAAAGCCAAAGCTAACAAAAAATCACTAAAATCAGACGGAAAAATGAAACTAACCAAGAACATAAATAAATACACGTCACATCTTTGGAGTCTTTGGTTGTTTTTCTCCCATAAGGCTTAAAAATGGAGTAAGAAATCATAATTTCACCAGTAGCCCCATCTAGAGTTTGGAGCAAATAGCATAAAAAATGTCAGTTGTCGGTTTTGACCTTGGTCATTCACGTGGAACCTCTATGTGCTTTGTGATTCTACCCCACTCCAGTTCATTGGGCAAACCGAACGCAATAGGTTCTTTCGTTCGTCCCACAGGTGTAGGAATGAACTACACCAACGTACACTAAACCTTTCGTTCGGCCCGGTGTAAAATCCACTAAACCTTCCTGTCGGCGATGTGGTGTCCACTGGTGGATATTTTCTCCGCCAGCTATTTAGTAGGAGTGAATTACACTCGACATGTATATAAGGAATAAGGAGGGAAGTAAACTAAGGTAAATAAGGTGGTGTAACTGGTGTAATTTACACTGGTGGACACTGCACCAACAGCGAACGAAAGAACCTAATGTCTATGGGCGAAGACAGGTTATTTTTCATCTCACTCGGGAGTATTTATAAAGACCATTTTCTATATCACTTTGTTATTGTCTGATCCACCAGCTTGTGGATTGAACAATGTGAAACAGAAAATGGTTATTATAAATACTCCCGAGTGAGATGAGAAATAAAAATGGCTGCGCCCATAGAGTCGCATGTTGGTCAATTAGGCATTCCAACGACCTGTCCAAATGGCTACCAGTGGGTAATGACAGTTTAGATATGGCAACCCTGTTGTCAAGTTGTCATTAACAGGGTCAATGATACATATATAGTTATATAGATTGCTCAAAGCTAGTCGTTTACGAGCGGCCATATTGCCTGGCAAATATTTATTAATTTGAATCGGTTTAGCAAAAATGTGTTTTAAAACCAATTATTAGCCTTTAGATATTTAAAAAAAATAATTGCTTACATTTTTACTTCAAGGCATAAGCTTATGTTTATTTTAAAAAATATGGATGATCAATCTATGTAACTATCTATTTCATTGACCTTGTCAAATCACCAGGCCTACAGGGTTGCCATAATTTTGCCATATCATAACCCACTGGTAGCCATTCAGGTTGGAATGCCTAATTGATACAATATGCACATTAGCTTTCTACCCCACTCCAGTTCATTGGGCATAAGCTTATGTTAATTTTAAAAAATGGATGATCAATCTATAGGTCTGTTCTGGTTTTGAGAAATAACGATCCACAACTGTCGGGCTCATGCGCAGTAGATAAAAAGTGTTCTGGTTTTTCTGGGACTACTTCGGATCTCTCAGTCCAGTGTTCTGGTTTCGTATCCGAAATAATCCGTGATTGTTGTAAACAGTCAAAAAGTGTTCATGCTTGGGAGTGTGGATCGACTCGGACTGTTTTGACCGCGCATGCGTTTTTGAAGTGTTATGAATATTGTATTGGCTTTTTAGACCATACGAAACGTATACAATCCCAAATTGTTTATTTATATGTGGACGAATGTCTCTTGTTCTTGTTTTATTTGTAAATTAAAGCAATTTTAGAATTATTAATTTTTTAATATTCTGTTTTTATTTATTCCATTGAAATGTGATGATAATGATAAACATATACATGCAAATGTTATTTGAAGCTGAGCTTTCAAAAGGAACTTCATTATTATAATAAACAATAAACAAAACACCTTTATGACGTGTTCTGGTTTTCCAATAATTTCAAACAGTCGGGGATTTTTTGCCTTTACGCATACGGTCCGGCGCAGTTTCAAAACAGTTTTCATTTTGAGAACCAGAACAAACCTAATATAACAACTGTATCATTGACCATGTCAAATCACAAGAACCACAGGGTTGTCATATCATAACCTATGGGCTAAATACTGGATGTATTTAAATGAGATGCATAAAAGTCGCCAGATTTTCCCGCACCGCTCGTGTTTTTTCCAATGAACTGTATATTTAAAATATACAGTTCACTGGTTTTTTCCAGTTTTGGTTTTGGGTAGTTTGGTGATTTCTCACTTGTAAAGTTGAGACTAATTATTGAGACTTTCATATGTCACATGTTGGCAACACTGCTAATGAATTAGAAAAATCAATGAAGAGGTGCCTTGTTTTTGTTGCAATACGCATGCTCGAATTGATTCATTTTCTTCATTATGCACAAAAAAATATTCTGTTTGTAGTATTTTTAGTGCAAACACAGTAATTACGTCTTACTATATCCAAATGAAAGAAACAAACTAAAGTAAGTACATCCACTCTTTAAATATCCCTCCTTTTTATGTAGAATTGTTTATTTTTAGAATGGACTTAGCAATACGAGACTTAAATCCCAAACCCATGGATGATTTCCCAAAGACATCTCAAGATATTCAAGATGCACAAATGACCTCCAGTACAGTTTCAAGTCTATCGTCCCCCGTAGATTCGGGGGTACAGCTATTAGATAGTGAAAGTGAAATAACTTCGGTAATGTCAGTGAGTGGATTCATCAGTGATATCGAAAATATACCATCTGATATCAACAGAACTAGTAAATTGGAAAAACGAAGAGAAGAATTAGAAGAAAAACATGATGTAGAAAAGCCTCTTATAGAAGAAGTTAAATCGATGACAAAAAGTGATATTATAAATCAAAATATTAGTGAGGAATACAAGAAGTTATCAGCTTCCTTACCGAATTATTTTGATAGTAGGAAATTTGAAACACCCAATGATGAAATGTTTGAGATGGAACACCCCATTAAGGGCTCTGAAAAAACTGACATTATGAACGTCTCTTTAACCAGCTATGAATTACTAGATTACACACATCAAAACAGAAATCTCGTTGATGAAAATACTGAAATGCATGTAAGTCTTTCAGAAGAAGTGAACGAAAGCTTAAGATTATCCTTAAATCATCCGGAACCTCAACCAATACAAACGGTTTCTGAAGAAATTCCCATCACTGCTAAACTATGTGAGGAACAAATTGTTTTTAGAAGGCAGAGAAGAAAGAAATCAAAGTCGGACACTCCTAAAAAACGGGTTTCCTTTCATGAAGATATTTTGAACAGCACGAAAATAGATGATATTCATATTAATCACGGATTTATTACACATGAACCAGAGGTGTCCCTTAGTTTTTTTCAAAGAGGATTCATCAGGAAGCCAGATGTTGTAAAAGGTGACCTTCTAAGTAATATAAAAAATTATATGGCAAAATTGAGGAATTTAGCTATAATAATTATAAAATATATTTAGGAAACAAAGAAATTGAATTAGTAATGAAAAGAAAATATTTAGGTGTTATTGTTTAGCTTTCAAAATAAATGGTGCCAACCCTCCAAGAGGAATCAATTATCAGCTACTTTTGGATAGTTTTAACATGCAAAGTGTTGAATATTGGAAAATTCTAGTTTCATTGACTTCTTTCTATAAAATCACAAATGGATTAATTGACTGTCATACTATTTCAGCTAAAATTAATTTAAACATTCCCTGGTATTATATTTATTTATACAATTTAAAATAGACAATTTAAATATAGACACAATCCGAAAATAACAAAAAAGACAATTTAAAGAAAATATAAATATAACAATGTAAAACATAATTTTTCTATAAAAATTAAAATTAAAAATATTTTTTTTTTAAATATTAAAAAAATTTAATATAAGGATTTTAAGGCATTTTTAAAGAACTTGGAGATTTGCAGAAGATATCCAAAAGACAATAATTATTATATTCACCAGACAAATGAGATAATGGGCTATGATAACCCTAATTGGTTGAGTTTGATTGAATATAAAATAAAGGTCTATTTTTGTTGATTCTGAGCCCAGTATTAAAAATTGTGACAATATATCATTACAGTTGACATGGCCATTAATCAATTCATATACAAATAATAAATCTACATCAAGTCTATGTTTCTACAATGTTACTATGTTAGAACTCATACTTATTGTTTGATAGTTGGTTTCATTCTACCTATAACCCAGCCTAAAGGCATAGTGTCTAAGAAATTTCTTCTGCACACTTTCTAACATATTGATGTTGCATTGATAAAAAGGACACCACACAACAGATCCATATTCAAGTCCTGACCTAACAAATGATGAATATACAAGCCTTATACTGTTCAGAGATAGACCTTTACTGTTTCTAAGTATAAAACGGATATTTCTAAATCCTGTAGAATTCAATTTTTGTATATGACTCTTAAAGTTTAATTCTTTATCCATAATAATACCAAGGTTTTTGATTTTGTTGACTCTTTTCAGAGCATTGCCACTAACCATGTAGTCATGAATAAGAGTAGTTTTTTTTCTAGAAAAAGTCATATCATAACATTTTGAAGTGGTATCTATCCATATCAGCTTGCAACAAATCACAATCTCCATCGTTTTCTATTGATTTAAATATTTTCAGATCATCGGCAAATAGAAGATATTTTGAATGATCAAATATTTCACTGATATTATTAATAAATGAATTAAATAAAATTGGTCCACAGTGAGAACCATGTGGTACTCCAGAAGGAACTTCTAGTGTATTTGATACAAAGTTATTAATTTTGACACCCTGTACCCTATTCGTTATAAAACTTTTGATCCAATCCAAAATACCTCAATTCATTCCAAGAGGTTCTAGTTTACTTATTAGTAGATTGTGATTAACCCTATCAAATGTTTTTGAGAAGTTTGTATATATACTATCAATTTGCAAATGGTTCTCAAAGGCATTCAAAATGTGATTCTGATAACAGAAGATTTGTTGAAGTTGATTTACCTAATGACTTGGATTTTTATCTCCTTGTGTTTTCTTTAATTTTATATCGGATTTATATCCCTACAGTAGTTTTTTGTAACTCTATAAAAATAGGGACGGAAATTTGACCAAGGCCGATTCGCCTCCTTATCTCTAGTCTTCATACTCCAGACTTATAAATAGGAGGTTATAAAAATATTCTTCCAAAAGCTTGGAAATACTGATGTTTTCAGAGATAAATTGTATAACAAGTGTAAGGGCTGTGTGAGAGTACAAACAATTATTCAAAAACAAGGCAGGCAAACCATCAGGACCAAAAGATAATTTAGGTTTTAATTTACATATACCATTAAAAACATCTTGTATAGAAATGTGATAATAGTTCAGATCCATGACTTTTTTATTGAATGTCACTAGAATACACGGAAGAAAAATGTTAGCAAAAAGACACACTGATGAATAGCCATTACTACTTAATGCGCCATTAAGATGCATACTTGAAGGATAGTTCATTTGATTTCTCAAATTATTCCAGAATGAAGAAAGATCATTTAGTCTTTCAATTTATCTTTTGTAACACTCATTGCTAATTGTCTTGCATTCTTGTCTAACTTGTGAACAATATTGATAACAGACATCATTTAACTTTTTTACTCTAATCTAGAGCAAACGGACCTTTTGCAAAAGCAAAAAAATATTTTGAAGATTTTCTAATATAAAATTGTATTTAAATGTATGTAACAATAAGGCAGCACTCTACAGACATTTAAGAAAAAAAAAATGTGGGAACTCCTCCCTTTTCATAGATTTAATATAGAATGGCGCGTAAATGTTTTTTTTGTCTTTAAATTCCTTTTAGAAAATTAAAAATAAATACTTTTGAAGGTTTACAAAAAAATCAAGGTTTCTCCACCCTAAATTTTGTTATTATTATTAACAGAAATCGTAGAATGGTCTGTTATTTTTGGACAACCATGTCCAAATTTATTTTTAAATGAAGTTACTTTTTCAGGAAGATACAGCTGGGCCGCAGAAGGAGATGCTCCCTATTATGAAAAACCCAATGAACGTGAAGTTAAATCGGATATATACATCAACCAGAATAAACATTCTTCGACATCATCCAGCTCAACCGGCAGCTCTAGCTCTATAGACGAAGAAGACTCAGATGAAACTTTTGTTAAAAAAGTGCCAAGCTTGAAATCCAAACCGAAGTCGAGTTGTTTGAAGAAGACCAAACACACTAAAAAGTACATTGACACGAACATCGTACACGAAGACATCGGTATTAAGAAGAAAAAGTTGGAGAGCAATTTATTGGATTCAAATATATTCGGAAGTCTCAAAAATATTTTGAATTTTTCTACTTCAGTCCCGCTGGCAGAGCGAGGGGTACCAGAAGGTAATAGATTTTTGTCTATTTAAGCACTACAGTTTTTGTTGTAAGTTATTTATTGATTTGGATACCTATTTTTGTTGACGATAATGGAGAAATCATCAATAAGTTGCTACATATGGAAAACTTTTTTATTATTAGTTTTATCAAAAAAATATATTATTTATAAAAAATTGTGCATGGCTTAAAACCGAAAATACAACCATCAGATATCAAATTTTTTTAGATGTATATGAGGTGCGTCAAAAAATATAAATTTTGCTCAAGGGTAAAGTATCTTTATTTTTGACAGACCTCGTATACGACTGAAATTGAAACATTTCAACATTAAGCTTCTTAAAGTGCTTGAAAATACCTTTAAAAACAGTTTCTTTTGAAGTTGTTAAATGGAGAAAAATAAGGAAAATTCCCTATTTAATATAAAATTACTCATTAAAAATATATTTGTACGCTTCAATCCTAGTACTTTTAAGGCCAAGAAGACCTTACCGTATATGCATCATCTCACGATATCGCAAAATCAAATAGACGTTCCTTTGGAGACTTGAAACTCAGATGTTTTGAGACAATAGAATTACCACCAGCCGTTAGTAAGCTTGACCAAGCTAAGAATAATTTGAAGTTGACGAAAAGCGAAGGGTTCTATCCGAGTTATCCAAATGTGCAGCAAAATTTACCCGGAAACATTATACTATGTGATAGCAATGTTTACGAACACAAAGGTAAGTAATAATACAAATGGAGGTTATAGGTATTACATTTTGTTTCTATTATTTTCGGAATTGTAGTCATTTAAACATTAAAAAATAACATTTATGCTACTTTTTACACAAATTTTATGCAAGGTGGGTCAAAATAATTTTAATTATACAGGGTTCTTTAAGAAAACAATGCATATAAAAAAATTTTAATTTTATATTTGAATTGCCCTTGCTTTTCCCATTATATCAATACAAAATAGTTATGAGATTATACAGGGTATTTCACACGCTATAACCAGTTTTGTATAAAAATCGTAATTACTTCAATGACCTGTAAAGTGCAAAAGAAACGATTGAAAACCAATTTTTTGCGATAAATTAGTGCCAATGACTACTTTTTTCAATTAGAATCAAATCTGTACAGGGTGAGTCAAAACTCAAATATATCATTTTCTCAGTTTTTAAAAGTACCTTAATTAAAGTTAATAATTTTGAGAGATTTTTAAATTTAAATAAGCAAAAGGATCATTCACAAAATACTCTAATATTTTAACTAATTAGTAATTATAATTTACTATCGTCTGAATAAGTTTTTGACAATACCCAATGCGACTTTCACATTCAGTAAAAAAATAAATTCCACTCGACCATTCACTGTTAGGTTCTAATTAATAGTGCTGTACCTGAAGTGACGCTGGGAAACAGTAACAAAGCCTACACAGAACACATATGATTGAGAATTTAAACACAAAACTGAGACTAGTATATTAGGTACACATACACCTAAGCCATAAATAAAAAAAAAAAAAATTACAACCGAAAACTTCACATACCTACTTTAATCAAATTTTATTGTTATTTTAACAGATTTTATTTAATTAGAAAATATCTAAGTAGTCTATAATATTTATGGAGGTCTTAAGGTGGTTTTTAAAGGTCCAACTCACATTTTTAAGCAAGTAACACTTGAAATATTTCTCTTATTCATGAAAAGTCATATTAAAAAACTGGCTAGACTTTTTTAAAAATAAATATTGCAACCCTAATGACTTAAGTAATAAATATGAAGACTAGATATACGGTCCCAAAAAACGCATGCTAATTGAGCTTTTATAATTAACCGCATGGGCGCTGGTACTGCTTACGGTGTTCAAAATACATGGCTTCTTATGCACAGAACATAATGTTGGATTTATAAATAAGTCTTGCATGTTTTAATTGATAAATTATTTAATTTTATCCATGTAAAATGCAAATTAGGTAGGTATGACCAAATTCGAAAAGATTTGTTAAATGCTGAAATTTTGTGGCAAAATTTTTTTGAATTGAACCTATATATAATTTTAAGAGCAAAATAAAACACAGATAACAGATTTTTTTATTGTTGTAATACAAGTATAAAGGGAGATTTGGGAATGTATATGGTATTACCTCATCTTTTAATTTTAGCTTTCCCCTATTTAATTTGCTTACAGTACCATCAGTAAAAATAGTCTCATAATATTTGATAACAGTATAGAACTGCATCATCTCTAGAAAGTGCTTTATCGGTACTAGGAAAGATATATATGCTGCCACTGTTCTAAGCGTTTAGTATTCTATAAAAAAGCATTTACAATTGGGGTTTAAAAAAAATAACAGTAGCAACTCTTTATCTAACATTAAAACTCCTTAAAAATAGATTTTCTTTTCTAGTAAGTTAAATTTAATGTATAATTATTGTTGATGTACTCGGGTACTTTTTTCACATTATTTTGATTCTTTTCATCAATTTTTTAAAAATCACTTCATTTTACATTGACTTTCATAGAAAATTGACACCGCTGTTATTCGACATGCCAACTACAGTCAATTTCGCGAACTTTATAAAAAGAAGGACGGAAATTTGATCATTTCCGATTCGCCTCCTTCTCTCTAGTCTTCATAGTAATAACTATCAGTAATGCGGGTTCAAAGTGAACTTAAAAATATAATAAACTTAGAACAAAGTAGGTATTCGAGTGAGTCTAGAATTGCTATTGGTATTTATTTTTTACTGAATGATAGTATTAGAAATTGTCAATAACTTTTTTAGTTGATAATTCAGACAATTGTTAAAAATTTCTTGACTGCTCAAAAAAAAACAGTTTTCAGTAGTTTTCCACCAGAAAAGGTGATTTTGAAATTCTCGGGAGAGGTGGAACCCTTGATATGCCACTCTTGCATCGATTCAAGATTATTGACTCAGGATTCATTGATAATACAAATTATAATTTAATATTAAAAAAATGTAAAAGATTTTTTTTATTTTATCAAATTTTATAACACCATTAACTCTTGAATAATAATTCATTTTTACGCCTTACTTTTAGGAATCAGTTATTCATACGAATATGACAAATTCCAAAAAACATTCGAACAACAACAAAAACCAAAAAGCTCAACAGTTTACCAAACGATTCTCAAAGAATTCAACTTCTTTAGAAGAAAGGCGCACGAAGACCAACAAACAAATCCTGAGGATGATTTCGAAATAATAACCCAAACTTCCACACCGATTAAAAATGAAGAAGCCAATTTAGAAATTGAAGAAGTGGAAGAGCCAGAATTTTCGGATCTCAAACCTACCGGCGGCGGCAGCGCTCATAATAATTTGAATAAATATTCTACTGCTAGTAAAATGGATTGGTCTGATAATGAAACTATTTCGGATTTGGTGGAACCTCAAAATTCGAGGCATTTAAGTTCGCCAAAAAGAAAAATAAACAAGACCAATCACTACTCAGTTAGTAGTTCATTTAGACCTATATCGTACGAGAGATCGGAGGAACAAGATATGGCTAAATCGTTGCCTTCTATACGTTCGTCAAGCTCTAAAACTTCTCTTATTAACAGGTAAGCAAGACGAATCCCTTTTTTATCAAATTTAATGTTTCTCAAGAAATTATTGCAAGTTTGGAATACCTAATAGTCAAAGAGTTCGAAATTTAAATGTTGAGAATGTTTCGCTTTTTAAATAATCTATGCACTTACCTAATAATTTTATTCAAATTGATTCTTCATATTTCTAACACAAAAACCATAAATTACAATATTATTTCACTTTCACTAGTTTCATTCATCCGCAGTCATTTTGTAATAAGTAATTTTCTTATTGGTCGTAACAAACAAAAACCATAGCCTACTTAATTACCTTTTGCTTTGCCTTTTTAAGCATCTACAAATACGTTATCAGTATTTTCCTATTTTTATTGAAAAATAGTTTGTAGGAAATATGGTTCAATTTTGTTTCCTTATCGATGTACCTGTACCTAATTTTAATGGAATTCTCACAGTTTGTTGACGACAACTTTATGAAATGTCTTTCAGACATTATTTCACACTTTATACAGTGTGAAAAACTTTCCTGCATAAAGGTTGAAAGCTTGGTTTAAAATCGAATATTAACTTTAAAAAAATGTATCATGTACGTGGAAACTCAACATAGCAGATTCTGTTACAATTTCGCAAAGCAAAACTGCATCTACAAGTGCATAATTTAAAAGAATGAAAAAAGTGTTTTGTGCATCTTTTGCACACTATAATTTTTCCACAACCACACTTTATAAGTGTAAATACGAATTATCTATGTATTACAGTTTATATTGTCACGATTTTACCAGCCTATAGTTATTGAAAAATAAAGGAGTTTATCCGATAAAACATGGTCCAATTTTGTTGTTTTTTTTTTATGTACAAAACATAATTTTTTTTGGTATCCTACTTTGTAGTAATTGATACGAACCATAGGCGACTTAATTAAAAAACTATTAAAATTGTACCTTCGAAACACATTTTGCTCTATCCTTGAGAAACTTCAATTTTGTTGTACAGAGTGCGCAAAAAATACAACAATTGTGGGATTGCAAATTTAAAAATCTTTTGAAATCTTGTTAAAAGTTTACGTATGCTCCATTTCCATTTTAAATTAATTTCTCTAATCACTCGAGGTTGACTTTTTGTTTTGTTATTTTAGGTTTCTGAAAAATGTCACTGCAAGAAAGTTGTTAGACATAAAGATTCAAAATAAACAAAAAAGCTCTAGAAGGATTGTCGACTTGTATATTAAGGGAGTAAAATCAATACCAAGAAGCGATGAAATCGATAGATATTTAGATAATGAAATTTTAGCTGGGAAGAAAAAATTAATGAACAACGTTGGTGCGATGGTAGATAAGAAAATGTTGATACAATTTAGAAAAGAAGTTTTTATGAATAGACTTGAAAAATTACATAGGGTGATTTTTTTTTTATTTAACATTAAGGGCGGCGTCTGATCATATCTCGAGAACTGTTTATCTGGACAATTTCGGGAATTTTTTTTTTAAATTGTTAAAAATATTTTTAACTTTGTAACTTCAACTATGTCGAGTGATATATACAAAATATAATTGTGTTTTTATAAAAAAATTAGGTGACCGTTTCCCTCTTTAAAACAACTACTGTCTTGGCTAATACTGATAGATAGATAGATATTTATTGATATAAAAATAAATATTTTACATGTGTCAATGTTAAAAGTGCAAAAAAAGACATATAGGTATAGATACAGAAAATAGTTACAATTTAAAAAAATAGATAAAAAAAATATATAGATACACAAAAGAATATTTTTTGTTGTGTCTAGTGCACAACCAAAAATAAACTTCGCCCGTGTATATATGTATTATTTTATTGTATTTACTTTAAATTAATGGAAATAAAGACGATTATTATTATTATTATTATTATTATATTAAAACATACTGAAAAGATAAAAATTAAAAAGGTATATTCACCAAAAAGGTTTACACATTACTCACATGCACAGATGGACACATGTGATAAGAATTCGTCAATGGAATAAAAGCAGTGACTCGACATACTTTTGCGAAGTCTTATTTTAAATAAATTAAAAGATGAGTTTTTATAAGCTTGAGGTAGGAAATTGTACAGTTTAATGCTTATATATTTATAAGAATCATGAAGTAATTAGGTAAAGATATATCATAATTTCCTCTTGTGCAATAAAAATGTTTAGAGCTCTGTCTTATAACATTATTATTATCAATTTGTTTTTTCATGTATAAAAGACATTTTAAAATAAAACAACATGGTAGCAGTAAAATACCCAACTGTTTAAAAATAGGTTGGCAGTGACTATTGTAGCTACTCGATGTCATGATACATACTACTTTTTTTGTGCAATAAATACCCTAAGTTGGTTGCTTGCATTTCTCCAAAGTATAACCCCATACGTCATAATGCCGTGAAATATGGAAAAATAGACCATTTTTAAATGTACAATATCTAATTGAAATTTTAGCTGTCTAATTGCATAAGTAGCTTTTGCTAAATGACTTAATAAACTTTGAATGTGATAATTAAAATCTAGTTTCGGGTCTAAATATATTCCTAAAAGTTTAACCTGTTCCTCACTTTTAGCAATGATAGCAAATGACATTTGTTGAGTTTTTGCCTCGTTTAATGTAAGACTATTGCTACCAAACCAATTATTTGACATAACTTCTGCTTCAATTAGCCTTTCTATTGTAGCAAATTTATTTTTATCTGTAGCAATATATGTTAAATCATCAGCATAATACAAATGTATATTACTTATATTAAATGACAAATCATTAAAGTAAATAATAAAAAGTAAGGGTCCGAGAACAAAACCTTGTGGAACTCCATACAGTACTGAATTCGTACCCGAAGTATGCCCATCAATTTCAACATATTGAGTTCTTTTTTGCAAATAAGAGGTAATAAGTTGTAATGGTGTCCCTCTAACTCTCTAATTTTAATAATAAAATGTCATGTTGAACCGTATCGAACGCTCTCGTAAGATCATAAAATCTGGCAGTACTATGTGAACGATCCTCAAAACCATCCGTAACAGCTTCATAGAGATCACATATTGCGTTAATTGTTGATTTGTTTGCCCTGTAACCGAATTGATTTTGGTTTAGCAACTTGTTGCTTTCAAAAAAATTCATAATTCGTTGTTTTCACTATTTCAAAAATTTTGCTTACTATTGGTATAATTGAGATAGGTGTAAGCAGATGGTATATTCATGTCCCCTTTTTTGAAAACAGGGGTAACTTGTGATACTTTAAATGTATCTGGAAAAACTCCAGATTTCATGCACAAATTAATTAGGTTAGCAATGGGAATGTCTGAAATATCAACAAAACTGCACTCAATCCATAAATATCTCTAGCTTTAGAATTTTTTAAATCTTTGATAATTTGATGGACTTCTGTTGTATCTGTGGGGTTCAAAAATATTGATAAATGATTAAAAGGAATGTTTTTAATAAAGCTCTTACCATTAGTAGACTGCTTGCAATTTTCAACTAAATCGTGAATTATACTTTGAAAGAAATCTGCAAAATCATCGACAGACACATTGGTTTTAGAAGATTTATTTCTGCCCAAGTTGGTGTTAATTATTTGTCAAGCTGTTTTTTGTTTATTATCAGACTCAAATATTTTTTTATTGTTCAAAAGTACCGTTTCCTTATTAACAATATTACGGTATTCTTTTTTTTTTTTAAAACGATAATAATTCGAATCTTTTCGGTGACTTCGTAGAATTGAATATTACTTGAGTAGCATCTAACTTTGCCTTAATGTAACTTACATTTTGAATGTTTGCTAAATTATTTTTACTTTTGATTACCTTCTCTTCAGGAAAACATTGTAGGTACGGTTTAGATTAAACGTCAATAATAATAATGTTAGCTTGGTCGTTCTCATTAAATTTATTTAAATCCCAACTTAACTTTTTTAATTCAGGTCTAAAATTATTTATGGCCCTCTCAGTCATGGGCCTACTTAAAGATGCATCGTTTACATTTTTTGTATCAGTAATTAGTTTAAGTGTTATACCCCTGTGATCCGAAATAAAAGGCTCAATGACATCTATAATAAAATTTTCATCTGTGCTATTCACTTTTTGACTTTTTTTATATAATGCAATTCTTGTTGCTGTATTAAACAAGGGAGTAGTTGTTTTCATGAAGGGAAACAATCGCTTGACTTTGCTACGGAACGGTCTAAAGATGTTCTCTTTTCTTTCATTTTGATTTGGTTACATTCAAGAATTGAAATTTATTTCCTATTTTTTGTATACGCCTTAAATTTTTTCTTCTTTTTTTAAGAATTTGGAAAATTTATTTATTTTGGCTAGTGTTATATTCGTATTCAAAATCAAGTAATTATTTTTTTAGATTTCTCAATTTTTTTTTTTGTAATTCTACTTTTGGAAGATTATGCAATATTATTTGTTTTTTTTTTTGTTTACTGTTATGCTTGTATTCTATACTCTATTCGCTATCAGGAGATAGTAATAAAACCTATATATGCAAAAAAGAGCACAAGTGGCTCAAAAAAAAAAAACATTTAATCAGGAAGTTTTAATGCTTTTACCATAGAGTAATAGTAATGTTTATTTTCCTTTGTTAGTACCACTCAGTATACAATAGGCTACCCTTTTATAATCGCATGTAGAATGACCTGAATACACTGAATATTAAATAAATAGTAAAAGGATAATAAAATCTGCCGATCTTTACTAACTTTATTTGTGTCATATTTGACAAATCGTAATCAGTTTGTAAAGTATAATGGATTTAAGTCTATCTAATACTTAGCAACTTTTGGTGCTTCACATGGTAGTAATCTAGGCTCGTTACTCTTTAACATCTTCAGTAATATTCTAATAATTAATATTGAGTGCTTGTTACCCATATGCAGATGATTTAAAAATATATTGAGAGATAAATTGTAAGAGTGATTGTGACAACGATTTTTTACGAATCTTTGTTACATTGAGGAATAATGTTTTATAAACAAATTTACACTGAATGCATCAAAGTGTAATGTGGTCCTTCTCTTAAAAAAAATCTCAAACTTTCTGATTATAAGCTCAATTATACCACTCTTCAAACGCCTCAAGCTTTTACTAACTTGATGAAAAACTTTCACATCATTGTAGCAGAAGCTACCCGTATGTATGGGTTTTTAGCGAGAATTTGTAGATATTTCATTTCCTAGAGAATCGTTTTAGTATTTAGCGGTAATTAAATCATAATTATTCTCTTCTAAAAGTGACGACATTGAGACTGAAGGAAGCGCGAGAGAATACTAAACTCTTCAGTATTTTTCATCAGAACGTTGAATGCATAATACCTATCTATCTGAGAACTATGAATTGTCACTAAACTCATTTATTTACTAAAAGTTTATTCATTCAATATACCATCAGAACGTTTACAAAATATGTAGTATCTACGGGTTGTTATTAGTTATTTTTCAAATTATTAATTCAATAGTGCCCACTTTTTATTTATTAAATGGAGTACCTATGGTTTACTGTTTTAAAAAGGTTTTATTACTATCTCCTGATAGCGAATATAGTATAATTGCAAGTAATAATTTTTTTATATAGTTCAATTCAATTTTTTTTTCTTTTTTTTTAATATAACATAAAATTTTAGATTTTCAATGTAAGAAGTGCTTACACTACATCGGGAGAATCGAAACCTCTATTATTCATCATAACAGACACCACTCTATATATCAGTAGTTTGAAACCGACCGGCACATATGCGAACCATTTCGTCCTTCCTTATACAGTACTCAATACCATATTGATCGGTCCTCAAGGACAAACCATCCATTTTTCGAACTACGACAAAGACATGCAGTGCATGATTAGTACTGGGTGTTCGAGTTTAACAAACGATTTGGTCGCTCAGCTGGAAATAGCGATGAGAAGAGATGCCAATAAACCGAAATTACCGGCTGTGAAGCAGCTGTCGATGAGAGATATGACTATATTGAGAAGAGCTATATGCAAACAAACATCTGTACATAAGGTAAACGTGTGTTTATTCAATAAGTGTGTAAAGTAACCATTGCTTACAATATTTTTTCTATTACTGTACATTGTATAAAAAGTCCACGGAGTAGTCTGAAAAGTTGACTAGTCCAAACACACTTTTCAAAAGTGGAAAAGTGTACTCTGTGCATGCGGGAAATTATATTAACTAATTCGTCTGAATTTCTTACAAAGGCAAAATTCAGTTTAAAAGAACAAATGACAAATGTTTTTATAATGTTTTCGAATTTTCGTTTCATATCTTAATAAAATAAACTTACAAAAATTACAAAAAATCCAAAGGTTGGAAGTATTTTACAAATGATTTGCCTAAAAAAAAACGAAAATACACATCCAAATATTGTTCCTAAAGTGTTCTTGAAAAAATATCCAGGATGGAGATTTAATTGTGTGTCTTATATGCTCAAGGTCGACTACTGTTCATTGTGACTTTTCATTACTTTTCACTACTTTTCCGGACATGTCCGTCGGACTAGTCAAAAAATTACTTTTCTTGAAAAGTCCCATCTCTAATATAAAATAATAAATGTACATTTTACGAACATACATTTATTTGAAGTTTACTACATATTTAATTCAACAAAATAACAGTAACAAATAAAACAAAGCTCAATAAATTAAATTTTTAGTGGTTAGAAATATTAATATTAAAAATACAATTATTACAACTACCAAAATTTCTGAATTCGTCCTTTATTTTTATATGGGGTGTTAGTAAATAAGTGCGACAAACTTCAGGGGGTGTTTCTGCATGAAAAAATAATGACAATTTGCTATATAAACGTATGTCTGAAAATGCTTCGTTTTCCGAATACGGGGTGTGGTTTTTCTTAAAAACTGATGATTTACTTATTGCTCTGAATCCCGTCGAGATATGCAAATGAAATTTGGTGGGCTTTAAGAGGTAGTTATTGCGCATTTTTTGACATGCATTTAAGAACTTTGTTCATCATTGGCGCGCATACGGGTAATGATCTCAATTATTTTAAAGAAAAAAAATGGTACGCCACTGAGATATTTAAAATTAAAAATCACTTTTGAGTTCCTCGTTCAATCTGTGACAAAAAATCTTTTCGTATGGGGCATATCTTGACCGGTTTCAGAGCAATAAACAAATCGTCAGTTTATTCGGAAAACGAAGCATTTTCAGACATACGTTTATATAGCAAACTGTCATTATTTTTTCATGCTGAATCACCCCCTGAAGTTTGTCGCACTTATTTACTAACACCCATGTTAAGTTTTAATAGTAAGTCTGGCGAATCACGTTAATGGTTAATAACGTCATTAACCGGACATTCACGATATTAACCAATTTATTCCATTTACTGTAAAGCTTAATTTATAACTGCCGTAACGTAACTTAAGTACTTAACGTAAGAAGTTGAAATATTGAATTTACGTATACTTATTTATAAAGTTCGTAACGTAACTTAAGAACTTAACATACCGTTGAAAGTTCGCCAACTTTTAACTTAAGATCTTACGGTCAGCCAATGAGATAATTCTGAGTTCAGCATGTGATAACTGTCAATTATTATTTTTATTTTTAAGCTATTGCATAGCTTTTATCGCAGGCTTTGAGCGGCGACCGAATCAAGAAATTTCGTAACACCGTAGCGAAAATAAACCTAACACCCCCCACTCCGACCGGCACAGCAGTGCGGCCTTAAAGCCATGGAAGGTTATATTCGACCCTATTCGTAAATTCGTATTAGTATGAAGCGGGGTTAAATATACGTCTGCGGACTGGAACATTTATGCAATACAATAACTAGAAGAGCTTCTAATAAATTGGTATCACAAATGTTCGCGGCTGGCGTAAATATTATAGTTGGAGAGCTAGTACCTAACTAACAGAAATTTCATTGTTTGATGCACTTTGAAATTTTGTAATTTGAAATCATTTGGATGGAAAAGCAGGTATACCTGTGTTGGCTAGCCAACATAAAAATAAGTCTTATTTACTATAGAAAGAGATTTTAAATTCATATTTCGGAGTATAATAAAAAATGCATTTATTTAGATGACTTATGTTTAAACTTTTAATCTCTCAAGATTAAAAATTAATACAATTAAGTAATAATGATACTTTTATAGTTTTTAAATCATATATTTATGTGATTCCATTAAATTACAATATAGGTATCATTTGACATAATAAAATTTTTCGTAAATATTTGTAATAAATTGTTATATATTATTATAAGCGATTCCAAACGTCTACCAATATGTGCTTGGTGGCGCGAAGCGTACAGTGGTCATAATTTGGATAGTGGGATAGCAAGTTGGTGGTTCGAGCCCCGAAACTTTTAGTTTTTTTTTGTTTTTTTTTTTTCTTAAAAAAAAAAGGAAAAATATTATTGTCACAGTCTTAGTAATTTAAAATGTTTAGTTTTTAAAAAGTATATACTTATTCAATGCATAGTGGCGCATAACGAGGTTCATTCAAGTTCAGCTAATTTTAAAAATGCAAGCTACCAGTGGACACTTCGTTTATTTAAATTCAAAAAAATAGGAATAGTATATTACATTACAAGTGTGGAAAGTCACATTTTTCACACGAGTGGGAAATATTGTCGCACTAGGCACAAGCCGTGTGCGACTATCACACGAGTGTGGAAAATCACTGAATAAGTATATACTTTTTAAAAACTAAACATTTTAAATTACCAAGACTGAAATAATAAAACAATAATATTGCGCCAATAATAAAAATAACTGAATAACCTACATAAGAAATTAAAAATATTTTAAACAATATTAACTTCTCATTTATTCAATAAAAGAAAAAAAATTGTTTTCTTGTCGGTCACCACGCTCAAAAAGTGTAACTTGAATTAATATCAGAGAAAAAAAATACTGCATAAATAAAATAAATAAATAATTATAATTGCACAAGTTGATAAAAATGCTATGCAATAGCTTTACCGCGGCAGTCCCCGAGTGCCACACGTATTTTTTTATAAATGAATGGACAAATACCATTTGTAAACTATTATTTTCCTTTTTTATGGACACATTATATGATGAATGATTTGTGATTATGTTATTGGGGATAAACTATTTTTGAGATATGAATATTGCTACATATACCTATATTAACATCAAATCTAGAACTGAAATAAGATACAAAACTAGTTTTCTAGGAAAGATTTAATTCTCATTATTGCTCAAAAACAATCAACATCTTGTGTAAACTATTTTATTTTATTATATTTTTATATTATTGCTTTTAAAGTAGTTAATATACTCTTTCTTTATAGCAAAATCATAATTTATGGGTTTTATTTGGAGGTTAGGTATATAGTTAACACTTGTTTATTTCTAAGATTGTCAGTAATTTGATAATCTCTGAAATTCAATACGCATGCTCAACTCTTACGTTACGGACATTTATAAATAAACTTTATTTTTATATCTTAGGTTAAGTTTCTACGGCTTTTAAGTTAAGTTACGTTACGGTGGTTATAAATTATACTTAACAAATACAATTCGTAAATTTCAGGATGAGGAATATTTTTACTACAGTATTGTAAACGTACAGGATTGTACGTCTGAACTAGATCCTACACCTTTAGGTCCCAACAAGGAAGGTCCTCTAATGTTTAAAACTCCAGAAACCGAATCTTCTCGATGGGAAACTGCATATTTTATTTTAAAGTAAGTATTCATTGCTTCTTTTCACCTATATCTGCAGGGAATTCTTTTAATTTCTTTTATTTCAGAAATTTAATAGATATTCACACAAATATAAGCTATTTTCTTAAAACTTTTCTTTCTTGATTCTTTTTGGGTGTTTCTTGGGAATTACACCCTGTATATAATAATAATAAATGGCCTTTATTTGTACATACCAAAAATACAAAAAAATATGTAGAAATGTACATTTGCCTGGGCGAGATTTAGCCTAAGGCTATTCTTACATCTAACCCTATAAATTCTATACATAGTTTAAATAATAAATACATATTTTACAATAAGCAAATTCTAGTAAAAAATTTGAAAATATGTTTTTTTAATAGAAAAATTTCCCATATACTTATCTTTAAAGTTATGTTAATAATAATAGTAATAAAAAAATGTCTCTTGGCATTTTTCCTCTTTCCAGATTTTCTGAATTAGAAATAATAGTCTTTATTTCAATTCGTTGTCACCATATTTAACGAGTTCGATGCTAATTCCATTTTTTCCTGGTGACTTTTAATTTGCATTTTTCCCAATCATCTTTTTTATCTCTTCCTCTATCTCCTCATTTTTCTCCACCTCAGGATCGATTAATAGATCTTAAAAGTAATCTATCCACACCTGATTGTATTCATCTTCTACTTTGTTGATTTTTTATTCCCTTTACTAAGCCTATGTAGATGTTGTTTTGTAAAAGTCTTTTGTATTTCTCTCATAAAATTATTTTTATTTGTCTGTTCCACCTTCTTTTTCCTTCTCTTATTAGTTTTTTGGTTTATTTTAATCAGTTTATATTCTTATTTCAAAACTTCTAAAATAAAATTATTTGCCGCTTTATAATTAAATTAATAATTACTGTGTTTTAGGGCTGGTGTTTTGTACATGTTATCCTCTCCTTCGCAAAGGGTACCCATGAGGGTGTTCCCTCTTATTAACGGCTGTTGTCAAGGTGCTAGAAGGGTGATCAATAGCGCTAGACCGCATACATTTCAGTTGATAGTGGAAGGAAAAAGCCTACTTTTGGCGGCTCCCAATGAATACGTAGCCAGTGAATGGTTGCAAGAATTGGTGCATGCAGCCAGTGGTGTAGGTTACTTATATTTTGCTATTTATTTCGTATGTAACGGTTTAATAAGAAATTATCATTCCTTCTGAGTAGATTATATTTTTTTTTGTGTTATTTTTCAGATGTATAATACCTACAAGGAAAAAAATCAAACTCAGTCTTGTTCCCTGCTCATGACGAGCGAACACGTATTGACAGTCAGAGAAACATTCCCGAATATTTTGAATAACGTATTGACTTCGTGTAATCAGCATGAACCTATCAAAGAAACGCAAGCCTTGTCGTGTGCCTCAATTGTAGATTTAACCTCGTTCAGATTACCCTCGGCCGAACAATCTTGGTGCATATTGGTGAGTGTTAGTCGATAGTGAACGAAAAAACCTTATTAATATCCCATTCCCAACATAACTGGTTGCTTATATAGCTATTTTGGCAGAGTTTTATTTTCGTTCATATAAATCTTTTCTTGCAGGAATTTGCATGTAGAGAGGTACATGAATACAGTGGCGATTGGATATTGTATTTTACTACAAATGTAGAACTGGAAAAATTCATATCCACATTGGAAACTCTGTGGAATTACAATAATGAGACGGTAAGTAAATAAGCCTACATATTTAATTTTTACTATATGCATTCTATATTTTTCTAGGGACACAGTTTTCCCCTCAATACAATCCCCGAAACTGACCCTCTAAGTAAAAAATGCGTAGACGTTTACACTTCCCTTATTGGAAATTGGCCGTCTGATTCTAATTCTGTTTTATTACAATTATTGTAAGTCTTTAGTTAATTTCTCATATTTTTTTTTGTTTCATTTTGCATAAATCAGTTTTTCTTCTTACTTAAAAATGATCTATCAAATTTGATACAAGAAAATTATTAATATTAATATATTTAAGATATATTTTTGTTTTTGATTCTTGGCCTTTTTTAGTTCAAAGTAAACCTACCTTGTTTTTATCTGTAAAGATTGATTTTTTTTTATATATATATATTTTATGTACCTAAATAATTTGAACATGGAATTTTTTCAAAATCCATAAAAAGGTGAAGACACTTGAGTATTCTTCTTGTAATTATTTGTAAACATTTTTGATGGACCATTTTAAAACGTTTCTATAGGTATCTATATTTTTTTATACTTAGATTATTTCGATTTAAATATTTATTGTAAAATATATTTATATATTTTGGAAAGTTTACTTTTCTACTAGTCATTTTTGTGTTACGTTTAATAATACGGAGTATTGTGATATATATGAAATAAATAATGTAATGAATGATATTATTACTTATATTAATGTTATTGATATAATGCGCTTCTGTAATTGATATACAGAGTGTTCAACCAGAATCTTATTTGAAAATAAATGTGGTAAATTCAATTCAAACATTACAGGTGCAGTTAGTTTATTCAGCATGTATTAATTTTTATTATCATAAAATTACAATTTACATCTTTGCTACCTTTGCCATATTTATTACAAATATTGAACAACGGATAATTTGGTGTAACACTCATTTAGGCATATGTAGACAATGTACTATTATACTAATTTTAATTTTTCTCCGACCACTATTCATACATTTCATGTATAGGGTGATTCATGGAGAGCAACCGATTATATTTCGAGAATCGTAGTTATTTACATTACAGGGTGTTTCAAAATTATACAGGTGAAAATATGGCGGACAATTCCTATAAACATGTATCAAAATAAGGGAAGATAACTCCCTTCAAGATGGTTTTCTGGCGATATTTTCGATACCGGTACCTTACTTTAAATTTTGGATTTCTCTTAAAATTAACATTGGGAGGAAAACTAGGGAGGAATGGGGTAAAAAAAGTACAAAACATGTTATTCTTCTACATTTTAGTATTTGTTAAACCATACTTATAAAATTCAATCTTTTTTACATCAAAAAGTACTGTTGGTTCACTTCGATAAGAATGATAGTTTTCTAGGAATATCGCTTGCTAAATTTAGAAGTATGGGAGAGTAGTATAGAATAAAACGATTTTCACATTGTAAATTTTTTTTATTATAAAAATATATCGCAAAATTTCTAAGCACTATTAAATATTATAATTTGCAATCAATACAGAATATTTTTGTTCTTAGTAATTATATAAGATTAGTATGAAATTATAAATGCCGCGTTTGAGAATCCACATCAGATGCATCTGAGATGTAGTAAATCTTTGATCACGTGATCCAGTATACGTAAATGTAATGGGACAGATGTGTCCGATGTGGATAAAAAAACGCTCGAGATGTAAAAAATGCATCCGATGTGGATTCTCAAACGCGGCAAAAATACATTTAAGCTACATAAATTGGAACTAGAATCAATTCTTGATTGGTTTTTATCTTATGGAGGAATTTCTTATTGACTGATTAAATAAATTTATTAATACCGTTGTAAAAGATAATTTACAAATTCATAAAAAAACGAATAAGATAAAAAATAAAAGTTATACTTGCACAGAAACACATTAAAAAAATACTTTTATTTATAGTCATGTGGAGTTCTAAAAAGCCTCCGTCCCCTCTTTTCTAAATCTTCATTCGGACCTAGGTTTTATAAAGTTTGTCCAAAAATCATCTGGAATGTTCAAAAGATGAGCCATCACCTCTACAGACTCTTCTGCAAATTGATCAGGGTCCCCTGATGAGCAACCAACTATTGTATGTCCAAATATTTTTGCTAAATTGTCTGTGGGCATTTTACATTCAGGGGATTGTGCTACTTTTTGTAAATGCAATATCACAAAAGCCAAAGTATCTCTATTTGGTTGAGGTAGTAGATATATGGTTTCATACAAAGCAGGAGCAACATCATTGGGATCTTTGGATCTTATAGCTGTGACAAAATCATGCCAGAGTGTCTGGTTCAAAATAGGTTCTGTTAGAGACTGTAAGAAATCTTTTAGGCAACCGCAAATTGCATGAATGTCAACTTCTTTTAAATAAGGTGCCAACCGGCTCGTTAGAAATTTCTCTTTTAAGCCTTTTACATCCTTCTCAGATCCTAGAATTCTATAAATATCTAATTCATTTAAGCCTCTTTGCTCAATTTCATTAATGCAGTGAACAATAAGAGCTGGGACCATGGGAGGACTTGTAGGTGTATAGTCGGCTATAGTACCAGTGAATTTCTTTGCACAAGGTGTAGGCATCAAATTTCTACACTCCTTATGGCACATAAGGTGGCATTCTTTACATTTAAGAGCAGTTTTGTTAAAATCAATGTCCTTTTCACACACAGAACATTTTGGTATTACAACGATTTTCATAACTCACAAACGAATCAATTGAACATATATTTAGTATCTGTCTTTTATACCTTACAGTCTTTTAGTAAAAGTAATGCATTAGTCATACAAATCTTTTTCAAGATTAATAAATTAATCACCACTGTTAACCTTTAAATAATCAGCAAACAGCAAATAATTACTGTGACAGATATTTTTCTCAAATTAAAATAGTCTCTGCATGGGATATATAAGTGATGACTCTTGTAGAATGTCTTGATGCTTTATTAAAGGTGTGAATAATGTAGAAATTAAAGTATCTTGCTATTTTATCTTCTTCGAATTCGATATAACAACATAAAAAATAGTCGATTGATGAAAATGTTTTACATAATAAACAACATAAACATGCCGGGTTTTAAAAAAAATCTTGTTTTAATGTTAAATTTGCAACTGTTTCGCTTGGAGATGGAAAATTTTGAATCAAATGATATATAGGCCAGTCACCACCTTCAATGAGTCATCCTGTACGTATATATGTTATATGTTAATGAAATAGTGGCACATTCTTCAAATAAATAAAATATACATACATTTTGTTAAACTCTAAAAATTGTGGTCGCAGAAAAAGTGTAGGAGCAACATGTGCGCAAAGCGCTTGTTGCACAATCCACTATTGTGGATATTTATATATGATTAAAAATGGAAACTTACAAAAAAATAATAGTGGAATAAAATAAGCGTAGAAATTTTATAATAATGTTTACATGGTTACAAATATTTGTTTCTCCCTCTCTTTTAGAATGTATGAAAGACGGTGCTAATTTAAAAAAAAAAGGAATTCGTGTGATTTAAGTTTGTACGCAAGTAAAATGGAACAAGCAAATTTGTTTAAAACCATTTCTTTCCTCCTAATAAGGTTGTAAGAGTAGATAAGGCTTGTCTAAATTTTGATTACTGATTTCTTTCCATGGTGTAATAGCCAAATCAAATGAATTCAGTAGCTCAACTACTGTGCATATATTTATAAAAATCAGTTGTAACTCCCAAATTTGTAAAGAAAATAGCTGCTTGTGATACCTCATTTAAAAGGTCACTTTATTCTATATTTAAAAATGCCGTGGTTTTTAAATTTATTGCAAAAAATTAACTTACAATGTAAAAAAATTACATAAACATCAATCTCAATGTAGATGTTCAAAATGCTGTCAGCATGCCAATCATAAATAAAATTATCTTCTAGCCTTAATCAACATCTGAGGCATAAAAAACTGTTTTTATCCCACGAATGTCTCTAAATCAAAAGTAACCCAATGAAAAAAATATCGCTGAATTCTCCATAAAATTTCCTTTTCAAAGATATGTCATAGCTTGTACGTTTCTTTAAATTGTATTGGCTAGATTGACAGACAGGAAAAAAATGACGTATGACAGTTGAGGATATGGTAGAAAGAAAATAAATCTGTTTTTGGGTTTTTGTCAAAAAAATCTTTAAAATATTCTAAGATACAACCCTAAAATGACAATATGAAACATTTTCTTGTATCTATAAGTAAAAACAATTTGCTGTGAAACATTTTGTTAATAAGGTAAATAAATTATAATATATTTTTTATTTTATTCCACTATAACATGTGTGGAACATCATATAGATTTAAGCTACATTAGGATAAGCAGTAAAAATCAGTTTTTCAGTGAGATATTGTTTTTTTTTTTTAATAATTTGAAAGTCAAATTTCAGTCTGTGATTCGAAATAGTTATTTTATTAAATAAATTTAAAGTATCTAATTTATTATTTTATATTATTTTTGTTTAATATTACAGTAAAACACTGAAATATTGATTACTGTAACAATCCTTCATAGTATTGACATTTTTCTATTCTAATATACTCTTTCTCCATATTACATTTATCAACTATTAATCAAAATTAATGATATAATACTCTATACTGTCAAAACAAATTAAAAGCAATTCATAGTAATTTTTTTACTTTAACAAAAACTTTCCATTCCAACTTATGTGTATTTTAATTAAGCTTGTAACAACCATATTTATTTGACTCCGTTTCCTTATGCCTTTCAAAAATTTGAAGCTTTTAATATATAATTTTTAACCATATTGTGTTAATTAAATGGGTGCTTAAATTAAATTGTTAAATGAGTGATTTAGAGCAAAAATGCATCTCTTAGATTGGTTATTTTATTGCATTTTTGATCTGCATCGCTTCCATATAAAAGGTTCTTTCGTTCGCTGTTTGTGCAGTGTGCACCAGTGTCAAATACACCACCTTATTTATCTACCTTATTCCTTATACACATGTTGAGTGTAATTCACTCCTGCTAAATAGCTGGTGGAGAAAATATCCACTAGTGGACATCACATCGCCAACAGGAAGGTGTAGTGGATTTTACACCACGCCAAAACGAAAGGTAGAGTGTCCTACACCAGTGGCATGAACGAAAGAACCTAAATACTGTTACTTCATATCGGGTGTGTATAAATTAAATCATCAATCCACCTTTTCCATTATTCGACAATTTCACATTACTCGCAATCATATGCCGCGTTTGAAAATCCACATCCGATGCATTTTTTACATCTCGAGCGTTTTTTTATCTACATCGGACACATCTACTACATCTGCGTTTGTTTATCCCAGATGTACCTGTTCAGATTAAATTTTTTACATCTCGATTTGAAATGAGATGTTCGTTCCATGCCAGAAAGTGAAGCCAAGTTTGTCAATTTATCCTTTGTTTATCTTAGCATGAATATAAAAGTGATTAGTTTGTTTAATTTTTGTTTAGATTTCAAATTTAGGTTGATTTGTAGTCTCAAAAGTCAAATTTAAAAAGTATAAACTTTTAACTTGTCATTGACATTTTATCACGTGACCAATAAAGTCTAGAGCGTTTTTTTATTACATCTACATTCAGATCTAATTCTCTTATTCTCTATCACGTGATAAATTCACAGCATCTCAGATGCATCCGATGTGGATTCTCAAACGCGGCAATAAATAAGTCAGTAAAAATGCCATTTCCATTAATTTCTTATTTTATTAGATAACATCGGATACAGGTATTGTTTTAGGCTATTGTTTATATCATATAGGAAGGAACAAAACTTTTATTGCATTGCTTAAGGCATTAAAACTTTAAATACAAAATATAAAAAAAAACATCTAATGATTTGTTAATTTTTAAACAGTAATCTGTTTCTAGTTGATACTGGTTACAAAAGTTGCAAATTTGGTGAAGCAAGGTACTGAATTATATAATATCAACATGTTGTAGTTAACCCAAAAAACCATAAACCTGGGTAAAGAATATGTCTTTTATTTTATACCCTTCAATTATGATCCAGAGAGGTAAAACCAAAGATTAAGAATAACAAAAGATTATACAGAGTGAGTGATTAAATCTAAGAGGAACATAGAACTACACTCCAATTTAAATGAACTGCTAATTTAAGTAGACCTCAGGTCATTCTAATAGTCCATCTACTATTATTACTAGAATCTGCAATTTTATTTGTTTAGTGCTAAACTTATTTTGAATAATACAATAAAATTCAATAGTAAATGAAGTGAAGTGTTATACATTTATAAAAAATGTATACGACCACAGTTGCTATAAACACAACTACAATTCCAAAAAACATCCGGTAAGCAGGTTAATTGAAATGTATTGCTATCTTGTAAGAGCCATTCAACAAGTCCTTAGAAAATAAAAATATTATATTTTGATTTTTTTTATTTTTCAACAAAAAAGCTAAAATCAAACATTAAATTTCCATTTGTATAGAAAACAAACTATTTAGGTGCAAAATGTCCCCCATATTTTCGACTATTTTTAGCTTTTTTAATATCAACATCAGGGTACTGCTGCTGAAGTGCATCCATATCCATATTTGGAAATCTATTCATCAAACCAATAACATGATTGAAATCTCTCCTAAAAATAAAACTCACAATAATTAATGAAATAAAATGAAAAATGGTTTCTTACGCTCTTTTCCTTCTTCGCTCAATATATATTTTCTCTCTATATTTAAGTAAAAATGCTTCAACATCTTTATCATATTTGAAGAATTTGTATTTCTCTGTCCATTTCTTATTCATAAACTTAGGTATAGGATATTCACACATTCTACAACAAAGGGATTCCATATAGATTGACAAATTGACAATTACATATTAAACTTACTTGTAATAATATTTTAAACCGAAAGCACTAGTTTCCATTTTACCAGGTCTTTCGCCTGTTTCACCAGTTTCCAACTTGTGGTAAGCTACATTTCTTTCTCTGACTACACATTCTAAGTTTTCCATGGAATCTTCTACTTTATCTAACCTTTCAGGGCTAGGAAACAATCTGGCTTGATCTTTACACTCTTGTTCCATTGTTAAAAGCATGTTACGCTCTTTCAACAATACATACCTAAATAAGATGAAGTAAATTCTAAATGTATAATCGTAAAAGAAATAAAAGCATACATAGGAACTATAAAAATAACAAAAAAACGTCTCTTAAAACTATCATACAATTGACATGCTTTTAACACAAATCGATAGACTAGAATGTTGATTTGATAGAAGCAGAAAGTAGGGAGATATGAAGTAGTATCGAAAATATTACACTGGCATAAATAAACATACCACAACTTGTGTAAGTCTGTGTTTGATTTGAGTCTTAGGTCGTCCTTCCTCCAAGATCTTCCACTCCTTATCTCTTCAACTCCCCAATTTTTCTTGACATCAAAAAATTCCATCAAGTCATTGTTTGCAGTGGTAACAGAAAATTGTCTATAATAAACTTAATTAATAATCTTATAACGTTATTAAAACCAATATTATATCTACCTGTTAAATTGTGAGTATTTAAAAATATTTGGAGAAGTATTTAATCGTAAATTGTTGAATAAACTCATTAATTTGCCAACTTTGAACAAACTATCCATATTTGTTAATTGAATTTTACTAAAAAGTAGAATGTGGAAGACTGAAAAAATGAAGACGTTTTCTCTTTTTATTTTTATTATTTGGCCTATTTCATATATAAAATAATGATTTTATTTTATAGCCAAATACTTTTAGGTTAGAAATTGTAGTTGTCATTTGACAGTCTTGACACATTTTTATTTGATGTGACAGGGTCAATGATATGATAACCTAGGGATATGACTATGGACTATGTATACATTGCGTTCGGTCTGCCAAGTTCCTTTAACTCCTTTAACACTTTTAACTCCAAACGACCCTTTTAGCGTTAGGTTTAGTCCAATGAACTGGAGGGGAGTAGAATGCCAATGTACATGTTGTACTATTAGAACAAGGTGCGACTCGATGGGCGCAGCCATTTTTATTGTTCATCTCACTTGGGACTATTTATAATAACCATTTTCTGTTTCACATTGTTATTGTTCAATCCACAAGCTGGTGGATCAGACAATAACAATGTGAAATAGAAAATGGCTATTTTAAATACTCCCAAGTGAGATGAAAAATAACCTATCTTCGCCCATAGAGTCGCACATCAAGTCTATTGACAAGCATTCTACCCCGCTCCAGTTCATTGGTTTAGTCCGATTAGTGACAGTTTAACACGCTTAAATGTCATTTAAAAGCACCCTAAATTTTGTCCCGCTCCAGCCCCTGACTGACCAAACTCGCCTATTGGAGCCAATGAACTGGAGTGGGGTAGAATGCTTGTCAATAGGCTTGAGATGCGACTCTATGGGCAAAGACAGGTTATTTTTCATCTCATTCGGGAGTATTTATAACAACCATTTTCTATTTCACTTTGTTATTGTCTGATCCACCAGCTTGTGGATTATTTAAGTTTATTTAAACCATGCGGTTCTTTATCATTTTCCAAAATAATATTTAGTATAATGAACTCTATATCATCATCCGCCTTTGCCAATATTGCTAATTCTAAAAAAAATAATCCACACAAATATATAAATCTAAACTACGATTGCCACGATCTAAACAAATCAAAATGAAATGATAGAAACAAAGAACAAAAAGTGTCAAGTCAATGCTCTCAAAACAATGGTCAAATCGAAAATACCCGGTATTTCGAAAATAACGTAGTTGGTGCTTGCCCGATCTCTCTATTACGCATACCATGGTTTCCCTATTATTGAATGTCATATGTCAAATTTAATTTAAGTTTGGGGATTTCTAAACGGAATTTGAATTTTAGAAATTTTAGGATGTTTTGATTTTGTTATTTTTTATTATAGTATGTTCTAGTAAGCTTATAAATAAATGCCTCGTTATATATATATATATATATATATATATATATATACTCGACCAGCGTATCATGTGACATCCAGCAAAAATTTTGACTTTGTGACATCCACCCTTTGCAAAGACTTTAGGAAAAAAATAAAAATATGACTTCTTTTAATTAAAAAAATATTATGGCTGAGCGAAAAATATCACAACCATACACATTTTAAAAAAATAAAACGTCCTATCGTTGTGAGATCCAAAGTATACACGGTATATATTTTTATTAACAACACTTTGTGACATCCAGAAAAACCTTGCATCTTGTGACATCCAGTTGTTACGTCACAGTATACCATTTCTACAGAAAAACTGTCATTCTTATAACATCCAGCAAGTATATAGATACATTTTTAAATTAAGCATCTTATTACATCCTAAACATTTAACACGTTCAGCGCCAAAGCCGACCCTCAAATTCTACGATTTCTTATTTATTTTTTATTCCAATGTGATTTCTTTTGTTGTTTTGTATGTGATAAAATAATTCATTCCATTTTAAAATTATTTTCTTTTTAGTTTTTGATTGTGTATATTTTTAGATACCCAGGCTCAAAAACTAGTTTTCGATGAAGTAACTTCTTGATATTTTTTTGATATGTTGAAATCCCTTATAGAGATTCGGTACAGGTTCTCCCTTTCCCAATAGTTTTACCCTTTACCCACTAAAATCACCACCTAAGCAAGTTATCGCCGGCCTCCTGCTAATATCTTTTACATGTTCATTGGAACTACTTTAAGTATCTATCGACCTTATATGGTTGATTCTCCAGTTTCAAGTGCATTAACACGACCAGTTTGCAAACCTAACCTAAAATTACCTGAGAAGTACCCAAAACATAAATCCAGCGGTGTTTATTATTTTTGCGCATAGACTACACTCACCGACTTAAAATTCGATCCATTCAAAATAATGATTTATTTAAAAATGCTCTAACTTTTAAATGCGGAGGCTGATTTAGATTTAGATAAAATACTGTAGTTTTAACATTATTATTCGGACATCTAAAAGTAATTTAGTTCTCGCCGGATATACAGGGGGGAATCGAAAACAATTTTTTCCTCTACTTTTGACACACCCTGTAGGTTAATTCTGCTAGCAGATCTGCACACAATTAACTTTATCAAGAAGACTAATTTGTTTCCAACATTTTGTTTTTTTATTTACCCCGATATCTTAATTTGTTTGTGAAATGTGACGGTTTAAAAAAATGCAACATTCTTAATTTTTTTATTCAGTTTTAGCGGAGTAATATATAATTTTATAAACAACTCAAACAACAAATAAACTAATAATTATTACAAATTAATAACGGGGGTTTTTCCCCACGAGCGCGAATAACTGCCTCAATGCATCATGGCATACCCTCTATTAGATATCGAATCTTCATCTGGTCAATCTGATCCCATTCTTGGACCAAAGCATCTCTCAAAAAATTTAAAATACTTGGAGAAGGAACTCGGTTATGAACTCGTCTGCCCATCATGTCCCAGACGTGCTCAATTGGATTGAGGTCTGGGCTACGTGATGGCCAGTTCATCCTATGAATTTCTGTTTCGTCCAAATATTGAGATACAATCCTCGCAATATGTGGTCGAGCGTTGTCATGCATAAACATGAATTCATTTGCTATAAATGGTGCAAATGGAATTACATATGGATCTAGCACATCACGAATATATCGGTAAGCTGTCATTGCTCCGCCGCCAACAACGACTAAATCAGTACGAGCTTCCATGCTTATGCCACCCCAAACCATTACCGATCCTCCTTCATAACTGAGTCTTGTGGAAAAATTTGCTTGGTCAAACCTTTCGCCTCTTCTTCGGTATATTCTTTCACGGCCATCAGGAGAACACGTAAACAAAACCTTGACTCGTCAGAAAATAAAATCTTACTCCATTCATCGATATTCCAATGTTGATGCTCCCTGGCAAATCGAAGACGTGCTGTTCTGTGATTCCTAAGTAACTCTGGAGCAGTTGCAGGTCTTCTGGAGCGTAATCCATGTTCTCGTAATCGCCTTCGAATCGTTATTTTGTTAACAGCTACTTGACGTACTTCTTCTAAACGATTTCGAGCCATGACAGCAGTTGTATTTCTTTCTCGCAAAACATTTAATGTTATAAAACGATCATCTCGAACATTTGTAGAACGTCGCACAGTGGCGACTCACAGGATTGATCCGTTTTAGACGTGCGTCACCTTAAAATGTTCGTCTTGAGTTTGCCTATCGACCCTTGTTCCGGGATTTTTGATTTCGAATTTTATTTTTCTGTAATTTGTGTCCAAAAATTTACTTTCATGGAAAAATGGCGATTTTGGGTGCAAAAGTCATCCTAGCGAACGCAACATTGAGTCTTTACAAAACTTTTTTGAAGGAAACTCTTCCTCTTGACAACCCCTAGAACCCTGTGTACGTCAAATTGCGAGAGAAAAACGGCGAAAATTACACATTTTTGGATATTTTTTACGAGAAACTCATCCTATCACCTAAGGAATATGTCCGAATGTTTGCAGAATTTTTGGAAAATTTCTGAAATTTTGGAATTTGGCGATTTCCTGGCCAAATTATATGGCCAAAAATATCCTCAAACATTCTGAGAAAATTTGTACGTATTGCTGGATTGATTATAAACACTTTTTATTAAAAAAAATTTATATTTTTGTTCCAATAGATTTTTGATGAACAATTTCCTTTCGCATCAATAGTTTTGGATCACTATGGTCGTTTTTAGGCATGACGGCCAATTTCTCTCGCAATTTGACGTACACAGGGTTGTAGGGGTTGTCAAGAGGAAGAGTTTCCTTCAAAAAAGTTTTGTAAAAACTCAATGTTGCGTTCGCTAGGATGACTTTTGCACCCAAAATCGCCATTTTTCCATGAAAGTAAATTTTTGGACACAAATTACAGAAAAATAAAATTCGAAATCAAAAATCCCGGAACAAGGGTCGATAGTCAAACTCAAGACGAACATTTTAAGGTGACGCACGTCTAAAACGGATCAATCCTGTGAGTCGTAGAGTAATTTGGGTGGCACAGTGGCGCTCCGCGCCACTGTGCGTCGTCTACCAGATTCTCTTCGTCTCGAAAAACTACCAGTTTCATTAAAACCTTGTACAACTCTCTGGACGCTACACCTTGTAACACCCAATATTCTAGAAGTATAATACTGAGTCCTACCGTCTTGTACCAGAGCAACTGCTCATGTTGCATCAGTAAGCGTTAAAACCATGATATTATGCTGATAATGAATAATAATTAAACTGCAATTGCCAAGTAACGAATATTTGACAGTTGTCATATTGTGAGTTGGCCACAGCACTCTACTTATTTTGTAGTCAGGTCAGTCAGGGGCTGGAGCGGGACAAATTTTAGGGTGCTTTTAAATGACATTTAAGCGTGTTAAACTGTCACTAATCGGACTAAACCGAACGTTAAAAGAGTCGTTTGGAGTTAAAAGTGTTAAAGGAGTTAAAGGAACGTGGCAAACCGAACGCAATGAAAGTACCGTCATTTAAATTATGACCGTTTCTAAAATGTAGCATTTTCTTTAAACCGTCACATTTCACAAAAAATTAAGATATCGGGGTAAATAAAAAAAAAAGTGTTGGTAACAAATCAGTCTTCTTGATAAAGTTAATTGTATGATTGTA